CCTTTTAAATATGGAGAGCGATAAGCAGCATTTTCGACATATCTTACTGTTTTACTACAGAAAGGGTAAAAATGCTGTTCAAGCCAGAAAGAAATTGACTGATGTGTATGGAGAAGGTGTGTTGACAGTACGCCAGTGCCAGATCAAAAAAAAAAGCGTAAGTATTAAATTAAATGGGCAACACTAAGATCAAGACGAGGACCGAGACCATGCCAGCAAGATCAACACTAAGATTAAAACTAGAAGTATTTGAGCAAGACCAAGACCGAATAAGCAAGACCAAGACTTGAACAGTCTTGGTCTTGGTCTTGGTCTTGTTTTGCTCATCACTAGAAGTAACAGTAATGTTTTATCTTTCCAAACTAAATTTACGGCATTGTGAGTTGTCACGTATGCAGGCATGTCTTTTTTGATAGGAAATTTAGTTTTGTAATATCCACAAAGAGAGAGAGAGAGAGTATCACCTTTGACGGATTTTTTCTGCTATTGAAATATTTGAACGTTAAACAAAGCCTTCTGCGTCAATGATATCTGATAAACTGTTAGTTAAATCCTCAGGTTCCTCTCTTAAGCAGCAGTTTCCTTGTGGAGCTAATCTACTGGTGTGGACTCATTTGGCAATTCCTTCAATATTGTTGGTATGGAGATAGACTTACAACAACAGTAAATAAACTAAACAAACTCAAGAGAAGCTATTTCTGAATTTTATATTTCTATTTTGAAGAGTTTACAGGTGTCCGATGCTTTCTATGAAGCAGACTGGCTGCATGCATCCAAAAGTTTCAAACACAAAATGTTATTTTCGATGTGTCGCCTTAGAAGACCCATCATCCTCACCGCCGGTAAATTTATGTACTTGAAGCTATCTACGTTCGTTGCAGTAAGTAGAATATTTTATTTAATAATGGACAGTTAATAAGGGTGGATTTGGTTAAAAAGAGTTGGATTAAGTTATAGCAATTGGTTACAGGGAATTTCACTTTTTAATTTACTTAGATTATCACGATCCGTATTACGTACTATAGCATTCAAATTGCGTCTTATTGTAGACAGTATCTTTAATTATCTTTTTTTTAGATTCTGAAAGCATCTTATTCTTTCTACGCCCTGTTGAAAAATTCTTCGGGAGGACCTACACGTTTAATGTAAATTTTTGAGACTAAATAAAGCAATTCACTCATAATTACTTTGCTGTAAGTGTTACGAAAATTATTAAATTAAGTCACTCTATTATACGTAGTTATCACTATATGTAACAAAAGTAAATAAATATAGCTAAAAACACAGTAGTAAAGAATAGACATATTTTTTTAACAACGAGGTATAAGTACTAGAATTTGGAGGATATTGAAATTCTGAGAATGACGTATGCTCTTCAATTTTTGATCAAAATTACAGTTCAGAACTAGTAACTGTATTGGGTCCTATCACATGCACTGTCAGTGGAGCGGCGACGGTTAATCGCTACTTGTAGTCGAGTGAGAAGAGCGTAGCGACGCTCGGGTAACCGCTACCTCAAATATAGTCGAGCGAGGTGTCATTTGGAGGATATTGAAATTCTAAAAATGACGTATGCTCTTCAATTTTTGATCAAAATTACAGTTCAGAACTAGTAACTGTATTAGGTGCTATTACATGCACTGTCAGTGGAGCGCCGATGGTTAATCGCTACATGTAGTCAAGTGAGAGGGGTGACGCTCGGTTAACCGCTACATCAAATATAGTCGAGCGAGGTGTCATTTGGAGGATATGGAAATTCTAAATCGCTAATCGTTAATCGCTACTTGTAGTCGAGTGAGAGGGGTGAAGCGATGCTCGGGTAACCGCTACCTTAAATACATTCGAGCGAGGTGTCATTTAAAAGACATCGAAATTCTAAGAATCGTAGTTGGTTTTTACATAGGTGTTAAATGTCTATCATATATGTAGCGGCTGGAGTGACGACGATTACCGCAACTTTAAAAATGGTCGAGTGAGGTAGGTTTTAAAAATTCTAAGAATTACATATGTTCATTATAATTACAGCTCTTGAGTTATTAGCGGCAATAAGTCGACGGCTTCCCTGCAGTAAGTATGAGGGGGAAGCCCTTTACAAAATAAAATTAAGGGCTGCAATCAAGGCAATAAAATATTCCTTTTTACTTTGTTTCTATGTAATTCATTTACAACGATATGGTTATTAATTCACTTAAAAATTCTTTTTAAGATTACGGTACAACAAGGCAGGACGCTTATGAGTTAAAGATAGTTTCATGAATATTACATAATTTCCGGCTTACTATTGTGTTGTCAATGTGACAATGAGATTGAGTTGCTACTTGTAAAAAATCCACTTCCTGATCGTTCGCGACGACAATTGCATTTCAAAATGAGTCAATCCGTGGATTATTACTTCGGGCATACTTTTATTCTTTTTAAAATTGGAGGAATGTGGAAACCTGAAAGAAGGGGGTCGTTTTCCAAGTATCTCATGTGGTGGATTTACAACGTGTTCTTGATCTGTTTTAGCACAACCATTGTTTTATTGCATGTCGGTTCGTTATTTGAAACTTACAAGAACAAACGAAATTTTATCAAAAATTTGAATGCTGCTTTGCAACTTTCGGTAGGATTAATTAAAATGATGTTCTGGTATCGCATTGGTAATGAAGCACTTGAAACTATACAAATATTGTCCGAAAAATGGACAATACATAAAAGTTTTGATCTTTTCGACCCTGAAGCAATATTCAAGAGAGAAGCAAAAATGAAAAGAATAAACGATTGCATCTATCTGGTCTTGGGGTTTAGTGTTTCAGTTTCTGCGTCAATCAGTTGTTTGGTCAACGTGTATATAAGGAAGCATTATGATGTATATGTTGATTCCAATAACGTAAGTCATGTAAAATACACGGAGCCACTTCCGTATTTCGTTTTAATTCCGTGGGATTATACATCATCGCTGTTTTCGTACACTGCTACGGTTTTGTTTGAATTGGTTGGTGCTGGTATATTTAACGTAATTATTGTAGGTAAGAAAATTAATACCAAAAAAGATATATATTGATACAAGTCCAGCAAATTTGCAACAGGAATTAATTAATTTTGCTTTTCCAAAGGTTTCGACGCCATTTTTAACTCAAGTGCTCTTTATGCAGTGGCCCATTTAGAGATTCTAATGGAAGCTATAAGAACAATTCGCAAGCGATCATACAAAAAATTGAACATCGCTTACACCCCACAAAGCCCTGATCGGAATCCGAAGATTCATAAAGCCATGGATGAAGAAATGAACCTGTGTATTATCCATTTGCAAGCCATTCTTAGGCAATTTATATTTATTAACAGTGTTTAATAAACGTACTGTACTAAATAATGTTTTTAAGGAAGTGTAACCGAATCGAGGAAGTCTGCAAGATTTTTATGTTAATGCAAGCCATGGCTTCTATGATCCTTTTTTGTACCAGTCTCTTCTTGCTCTCTGGAGTACGTATTTCCGGTGCTCTTTTTCCTTTGGTATATTATGAAATTGTTGGTCAGTGATTTGTCGAAGCCATCGGATACGGATCGCGGTTGTGAATTTATTAGGTCCTTCCTCTTTAGAATCGACGCGTTCCTGATATTAAAAATGTGTTTCCTTCTGAATGACCGTCTTCAACAAATTGATTCTGTTATTAACAGCAAAACAATGCTTTAATAACATAATTGATAAATAATTATAACTTAAATCCTTAGGTTCCTATTTTAAGTAGCAGTTTCTGCGTGGAGCTAATCTACTACTTTGAACTAATGTGGCAATTCCTTCAGTACTGTTGGTATGGAGATAAACTCACACAGACTGTAAGTAAATTAAACAATCGCAACGAAAGCTATTTCTGAGTTATTTATTTTTATTTCGAAGAGCTTAGAAGTGTCCAATGCATTCTATGAAACGGATTGGCTGCATGCATCTAAAAGTTTCAAACACAAAATATTATTTTCGATGTGTCGTCTTACAAGGCCCATTATTTTTACATCTGGTAAATTTATGGATTTGAAATTAACCACGTTCGCCGCAGTAAGTGGATTAGTAAACTACTTTATTTAATCATGAGCAGTTAAGGGTGGGTTTGGTTGAACTAAAATGAATTGAGTTAGATTTAAGGAATTATGTGATTCGTATTTCACGTTATACAGGTTGCGGCAACATAACTTTCTTTTTGAAATGCGCGGTATTTTGGTTGTAGGGATCGTAGTGGGTTGGGAATTGTCTCATTCGAGAAACGTGGTTCTAAAATTTTGTTCCCTATCTGTCAATTGCCTCCATGCTTTGGAACAGTGAGCGCACCTTCTGAAATCCGAAACCGGAATTCAATTGTTATACGGATCACTACATTCAGACAAGCCAAGAGTGTAATAAAACGAAGAACTGGAGGCCCCCTCGGGATCATCTCCGAACATTGAGCTAGTGGGAGCTTCAGTGTTGATTTCTCCTTTTGGTCTTTCCGCTGTGAGGCAAATTCCCCACTATGACCTTCATCACCAGCCCTAGAAGTTGGCGATTGTGCACGAACTCTTAGAATGGGACGAATTTTTTTCAGTCCGAAACCCATTTTCACTTGAGTCGAAATATCAACAAGCAGAACATGGGCTGCTGGGCTAACGCTAATCCCCGAGCATTGCATCAAAGATTACATTCACTTATGATCACAGTAGGATCTGGAATTTTATTAGCTAAGATTTTTAGTTCATGGTTCTTCTAAGACAATGGGGTCACCGTGACGGAGAATTTCATCCGGTATGTGGACATGTTGGAGGAATTTTTTTTCCAGCTTGATAAATTAGGTTTAGGAGATTTTTGGTTCCAACAGGATAGAGAAACGATTCATACCTCAAGGGCATTAATGACTGTTTGGGAACACTTCCCGGAACGGCCTCATCTCAATATGAAACAGTTTGGCTTGGCCAGCCTACTTTGGCCAGCCTATTCCCCCGATATTTTTTGTGGGGGTGCGTATGTCAACCGTCCAAGGAGTCTGCAAGTCCTGAAGGTCAACATTCGGACAGAAATTGCCAACATGCCCGCGGCAATGCTGGCAAGAGTCATGGCTAACGCTAAAAATCGGCTTATTCAATTATAATCGACAATGGGGGTAGCGTCACCTACCCAACATGATTTTCAAATCAAAATTTTAGATACGTACCTACATTACAGAACAAAAATAAAAAGTTTCTGGTTCACAAAATGGGTTTTATTGCGTTTTGAAAAAAAGGAAGTTATGTTGCGTGTACCTCGCATCTATACTGCGTTTCCAGTCGATCGTATTTTTAAACCTCAATTGTTTTTTTACAGATTGTGAAAGCATCATATTCCTTCTACGCCGTACTGAAGAATTCATCGGGAGGACCTTAATGTTCAAAGTAAATTTTTGAACAAAACAATACAATTCTGCTTACGCATTATGATTATTTTGTTCTAACAGTGTTATGAAAATTATAGGTTAGTCTGTTATATGGCATGTAGTTATCCCAATATGTAACACAATAAATAAATGTAGTAAAAAACACAACAATAAATAGCTGGTATATTTTCTTAACAACAATATGTACTACAATAAGTCAGAACTTTCAAGCGCCGATTGCGATTTTGAACTCATTAGATCACATATGCACGCCACTTTCGACAGAATACTAACCAATCAAATAAAGCGCTGCTGACTAGCTAGCACCGAGATAAAGTCCATATGTAGAGAATTTCTAGTAATTGTGATTCCAATGATGTTTAAGAAGGTACTTTTTTAATTAAGGATGTCATAACCGTTAATGAAGACCCTTTTCCGAAACCATTGGTCGTTATCGAATACTGCTGAATATAGGTATATTAGTAAACCCACAATTAGTAAAAAATCTCTATAAATTTGTCTTATTATTAGTTATTTTCTAAGGACAACTTTGAAAATAACAAAACATTTATTTTTAAAAAGTATTTATTATCCACTTTTCCCCCTTTAGTCTGGATTAGAGGGCTTTCCGCCCTACCTTCCGGCATAGTCCGGAGGGACTGCCCGCCCAGCAGCATCACTGGCTGGTGGGAATGAAACACCCAAATGTAATGTATTATACTTCTACTTGCATATTTACTTAACCGTTATACATACAGCAATTAGTAGTCTATTTGTTTAATCAGTCTTTTCAACAAATGATTATGAGTACTTCCCCCGAAATAAATGGTCGCCATGATGTCATGACTAATAAATTATAGAAGACACATGAGTAGCTGCGCGATGAGCGACTACGCATTAATTTCAATATTGTTAGTTGTAAAGCATAAAACGTTTGTAAAATCTCAAGAAGACTTTCCTTGGATCACTCAGCCAAATGCTGGGTAATATTCCACAGATAATCTTTTATTCTCTTCTGTCTTCATTTCGTTCGTCTCATCTTTCTCACTCGAACCTCAATCCATCCATTCCCACGATTCCTGTAAGGAGGCTGAAGGGGGCCTTCCGCCCTACCTTTAAGTATTTGTTCAACTTTGGCTGTCCAGTCGTGGACCAAGGTTGGCAACCAGACTTGGGTCGAAGTTACATACCAAGCGTTTGCCATGCTCGATCCAATACTGGCTGCCAAATTTAGGTTAGTAATGTTCACCAAGTCTTGGTTCAGCATTGGCAGTCCAGTCGTGGGCCAAGGTTGGTAACCAGACTTGGGTCGAAGTTACACACCAAACGTTTGCCTTGCACGGTCCGATATTGGTTGTCAATCTTGAGTTAGTATTGTTCACCAAGTCTTGGTTAAGCATTAGCTGTCCAGTCGTGAGCCACGCTTGTCAACCAGGCTTGAGCTGAAGTTATCTTCCTAGCGTTTGCCATGCTTGGTCCAATATTGATTGTCAATCTTGGGGCAGAACTCAAAAATCTTGGACCAAGTTTGGAGTTAGCTCCTGCATGAGTTCCGGCATAGTCCAGAAGAACTGCCCGCCCACCAGCATTACAAGCTGGTGGAAATGAAAGATTGAAAAGTTTTTAGATTTTAGTTTCAAGAAAACTAGAGTTAGGAACAAAAACCCCGAAGCGAATGGGTCTGGAAAGCACCATGACTAACAAAGAATATAAAACGAAGCCTTGTAAGTGGCGGTGGACCGTAAGATAAGTAATAGTCTATCTTTATTCAATGGCGCTTTTGACTAGGCCAGTTCACTGTCAATTCTCCATCTCAAAATAAAAGACATATGCTGCCTCTTTATTTTCTGCGTGCTTCGTACATTAATTAAGCTACCCTGTGTTGTTTCTACACCCATTTCGCTAGTATGAGTGGCCAGCTTTTTTAGATGTCTCATCATCTCCGATACTGGATGTGGACTGTCCACAAAGAAGACTAGAGGTGGTAAATTGTTTAATAAATTAAATTGTAATTACTGATATTCGGTATATTATTGAAGATAATTTTATAGAAATCACAATCTACTTTGAGGAAGTCTGAAAGGCGAAAGTTTTTGCAGTCGCGCTTAATATTGGTGAAGATTACAACAACTACCTAGTTTTTCAAATAGTTATTATTGCTATGACGTATTACCATTACAAATCTTACTGGTCTCATATGTTAATTGACTTAGTTAATACCGCGTGTAACATAATTACTTCCTTCGCCAATTATTATCATGCATCATTTTCAACAGAAACGTTGTGATTAAGGACACGCAAACTCCTAACCATTGTTTAAATAAAAATTAGAGCAGCTACACTGTAGTTTTATCAATTTGGTGCAAGTCAAAAGATAATAAGGAATTTATTCAGTAATCAGTCATGAGCATAGATATATAATTGGGATTGCAATTTGAGAATAAGAAATACGTTATAATGAATAAATATTATTGTCTAATACACGCATTTTTTCTTGTATTCTTTTTATACTGTACTAAAGAACTCTTCAGGAGGATCTTCACGTATAGGACTTTAATAAAGCAGTACTTTGCCAAGTTATGTGTTGTAATTAGTGTTTATGAAAATTATAACTGTTTTGTTATAAATATATGTGTAAAGTGTTAGTTACTTAACTTAATAAATAAATAATGCACTACTGTTAACTTATTAAAGTGTTACCTTCCCCGGGATCATTGTATTTAGTAGAATTTAGAAACATTTCTATTTAATAAAGAAAAGTAATTCAGTATTTAGGTAAGAACTTTTGTTCACTTCTTTCTGTACTTCATTTTCTTCGTTTTTAAGGCTTCGTATACAAAGGCAATGAGCCCCAACAATGTATGCCCATTTGTCATAATCATAAGACTCTGCTTCAGTAACAGTAAGGGATATCCTACTCAAATTTTGTTGTGGTCACGAATCTTTGCAAATAAAACATAAAACTAGGTTGTGTGCTGAATTAAAATATCTTAGGCTACGTATTCTTATACTAATATCTATATATTTTAATTTATTTAACAATATTGGTAAATCGATCACCAAAAATGTAGAAACTGTTTAGAAGATAGTGTGTCATGGCTAGGGTTGCCACCCGTCCTTTATAAAGTATTGTACTCTATTTCGACTGTGCGTACGTTATACTTTACAAGACACATAAAGTACGCAAAAATACTTTATTTAAGGCCTTAAGTAAACATCGTAATTTTGTAAGCGATTATTCGAAATTTAGAGTATTTTTATAACGTAATATTGCACATAAAAAATAGCAAGCCATATTTACGGAACAACCTGATTTCCCAAATCTGTTCAAAGTAGTTTCACTTTTGCTGTCCGTTCCGGCCACTTCAGCATTTACAGAAAGAGTATTCTGTCATGAACGCAAAGTGGCGGGACGACAGGAAAAAAGCTTTATTAAAACTATGAAAAAATGAACTTTTAGTTTACTTATATCTTTGTTTGCCATGTTTAGAGGCTATTAATGTATTTAAGAGCGACAGCAATTTGTTACTGGCTGCTAGGTGTAACAAAAAATATGTTTTAAAAAAAAATAAAATACTTTATTTTTATGCTGACTACTTTTTTTTTAACCTTTTAGTCGAGAAATACTTTATGTAAGCCTGAAAAGGTGGCAACCCTAGTCATGACCTTCGCATATACAGTGTCAAAAGTCAATTTGTGCTGCAGCGTGTCGGAGCCGCAATTGACCGCCCTTATTTTTCTACGTGAATTAAAACGTAACCGGGTGTAATTTACATATGTATTATACATACATTTTACTGTTATCGATTGTTTCGTAGCCAAGAATATTTTCGTTCATGCGACGGTAACGTACAAACGCTCATGAAATCATTAATTAGTTGTTATTCCTTTGCCTGTAATTACAGAAATGCAAAAACCTCCTTTTGTAATTTCGAAGAAAATTTTCTTCATAAATTGCAAATCATTCTCCCTTAACTGGGGGGTGTTTCATATGCAAATGTTATACATAAATAAATAAAATTTATAGGAAGGGATATATATGCTCACATATACGCTGCTATTTGGTATTAGTAACACTGCGAGTTGAATAGTAGTTTGAAATGGACCAACATTGGAATCAATTTTTTTATCATACGTTTTCGTTCATCAAAATAGGAGGGATGTGGAAACCAGAAAGGGATTGTCCTCGATTCAAATGCATTATCTGGTGGATGTACAATTTCTATATAATCAGTTTCAGCGTCAGTTTAGCCCTGACACAATTTGGTGCACTGTTCGAAACGTACAAGATTCCAAACGACCTGATTAAAAATTTTAATATGGTAACGGTGCTCTTTGTCGGATTGTTGAAAGTTATTGTATGGTACCGTAAGAGAGATGAAATTCTTCAAATGATAAAACTACTGACTGAAAAAATATCAATGTATAAGTCATGTGAAATCTTCAAACCTGACGAAATCCTTAACGAAGAATCCAAGTCAAAAAGGGCTGTGGATTTAATGTTTTTAGTGTCCGGCTTAATAGTCGTGGCATTATCGTCAATTGTTTGTCTTATAACTTTGCATAAAAATATGGATAAATACAATAGCTACGTCGATTTTAACAACATTAGCCATGTGAAATACACGGACCCATTGCCGTATTTTGCAATTTATCCATGGGATTACAAAGCGTCAGTAAGGGGATACATTGGAGCTGTGATTTTCCAGGGGTTTGGTGTCGCGAAATTTGTGTTTATTGTTGTAGGTAAGGAAACTAGTAGACAAAACGAGGAACTTAATAAACAATTTTGTAATCGAATAAAATAATTCGAAGTGGTCTGTATTCTGTCGAAACTGCCAGACGCGGATCGCGATTTCGATCTTTTTGGATCTCATCAGCGCGTCGCAGGCAGTTTCGACAGAATACAGACCACTTCGAATTATTTTATTCGATTAAGCTAACGTACCTATCACGTTGAGGTTGGCTACGCCGGGATTCGTTTTCAGCAAGTAGATATACACACAAGTGGACCTTGTTGGAGCATATGTAATCCTAAAATGTAGCAGCGTGTTACAGATGGCGTTTACTGCGCCATTTGTAGTATTTTCTAATTTTATAATTGATAAACACTTTTATGTGGCTTCAAGAATAAGAAAAATATATATACACACTCACGATCTTCTCAAAATCTCTTAACATACGAGTGCTGATCCCTTTGCACCGCTCCTAAGCCAATTATAAATCGAAATAATTATTTATTATCACGTCAAATTGCGGCCTGCTATCTAACACTGCAACATTAAAAGTCTGGACCTGTTAAATCCTGTCTGGTCAAGTTTAGGAGAGTTTTATAAAACCATTAGAGTGGAGCATGTTGAGCAACGTGATCAAATACTTCCGTTTAGACAAGGTAAAGAAAATTTTCTTGCAAAACTAGTGAGAACGGTTGATTCTTTGATCCATCATTACGATGTAGAGACCAAAATACAGCGTAAGGAATAGATTCATCAAAGTTCACCACCGCCGAAGTTGCAATCATTAGCACGGAAGAATTCTGAAGGTGTAATTTTGGTAAATCTCTTGCTTTATTATGCCAATTTAATTACACCAACCGATAAAAGAAAAACGTTGAGTTACGAATGGGTGTTCTCTTGTATCAGGATAATGCGGATAGTTCAGATGGGCCCCGAATTAGTTAAGCAACCACCATGTTCGCTATATTTGGCTCGTAGCTATTACCGATTGTTTCCAAATCTTAAAGAATCCTGGTGTAGTAAACGATTTTTGTCAGATAAAGTGATTGCATATTCGGAAAATCAGTGATTTGAAGATACTGAAGAATCCTTTTTTCGAGAAGCGTTACAAATGCTAAAATAACGATGGTAAAAACATGTTTACCTTAAAGGACAATGGCTTAGATAATGTAAATTTGTTATTGTAAATAGGCTACGGGCTAAGCAAAGCTATCAGCCTTCGTATTTGAATTTTGTTACATTAAAATTCCAGGATCACTCTGTCACAACTATTTATTGATTATATCTGTAATTTAAAATGCTTGACGAGAGTCATAGCGCTACATGATCTTTTTTTACGCTTTATTAAAAGGTTTCGACACCGTTTTCACTACAATGACTGTATATTCGGGAGCTCACCTGAAAGTCCTAATGGAAGCTCTAAGGACAATTCGTGTTCGATCATACAGAAGAATGAATGTCAGTTACGTTCCAAAATTGTACGATACTGACAAAGGAGTTCATGGGATTATGGATGAGGAAATAAATATATGCATCGTCCACCTCCAAACGATTTTCAGGCAACGTATTATCAGATATCGAATATCCGGTTTTCATTAACAAATTGTTTTTAGGATGTGCGAGACTATCGAAGACACCTTTAATGTTATAGCCCTTTTACAAATTCTACAATCTGTGACGGTTCTTTGTGCAGGTCTATATGTGGTTTCTGAGGTAAGTTTCTTTTATAGGTCTACTAAAATAAGGCGAAACTAAAGGACTCTACGAAAAAAAAAACTCTTTGAAACTTTAGATATTGGTAGTTCCCGATGTGTCGCTTAGACATAAAAATTCATCTTTTTAAAATACGCTCTCTTAAAGTTGTATTTTTCTGTAAAGATTTCCAAGATACAATGATATATATATAACAGGTCAATTGAAAAGTCCCCGGCCTAAAATAGTAAAACACATTTTTTTTGCAAAATTCGTTTCCTTCAAGGGTGATACACTGATTATAGCGATCCTCCAACTTTTCGATACCATTTTTGTAGTACGATTTGTCACTTGCTTCAAAATAGGCCTCAGTTTCGGCGATCACCTCTTCATTCGACGAAAATTTTTTCCCAACGAGCATTCTTTTGAGATCTGAGAACAGGAAGTAGTCGCTGGGGGCCAGATCTGGAGAATACGGTGGATGCGGAAGCAATTCGAAGCCCAATTCATGAATTTTTGCCATCGTTTTCACTGACTTTTGCAAATGCGGTCGTTTCTCGGAGATTTCGTCCTTCAAACGGTCCAATAACGCTATGTAATAGTCGCTGTTGATGGTCCTTCCTTTTTCAAAGTAGTCTATGAAAATTATTCCACGCGCATCCCAAAATACAGACGCCATAACCCTGCCAGCCGACTGTTGCGTTTTTGCACGCTTTGGAGCGGGTTCATCGTGTGCAGTCCACTCCGATGACTGTCGATTGGACTTCGGAGTGAAATGATGGAGCCATGTTTCATCCATTGTCACATATCGACGCAAAAACTCGAGTTTATTACGCGTGATCATCTTCAAACACTGCTCTGAATCATCAACTCGTCGTTGTTTTTGGTCAAAAGTGAGCTCGCGCGGCACCCACTTTTGCACAGAGCTTTCTCATACCCAAATATTCGTGAATGATGTGATGTATACGTTCCGTCGATATCTGTAGAGTGTCTGCTATTTCATTCAATTTCAGTTTACGGTCATTCAAAATCATTTTGTGGATTTTTTATTGTTTTCGTCAGTAACAGCCTCTTTTGGACGTCCACTGCGTTCACCGTCTTCGGTGCTCATTTCACCACGTCTAAACTTAGCATACCAATCCTTGATGGTTGATTTTCCTGGGACAGTGTCCGGAAATTCGTTATCAAGCCAAGTTTTTGCTTCAACTGTATTTTTTCCCTTCAAAAAGCAATATTTTATCAACACGCGAAATTCCTTTTTATCAATTTTTTTCACAATAGCAAAAGTTGCTTCACTAAAAATGCTATAATTCACAAACCAATGATCCGACAACCGTCAAATTTATAGACGCGCCTTTTGAAGGTTAGGACTAACTGAAAATCATATGGATTTAGTTCTGGTGCCGCCATCTATGTGTCAGGCCGGGGACTTTTCAATTGACCCTAAGTATTATACGTATTGAATAAGTTCAAGTGTATTACTTGATAGAAATAGCTTGGACACTGGGATATTTACGCCCACTGATGCGCGATAGATACTCTGATATTCTAGTGAAGCCACCTTGGTTGTCATGGTTTCTTAAAAACATGAGGGTATATACAAACTCGACCCTTATTATTACAAAGCGACTTTAAATCCAAAACTTCAACGATAAGTACAATTAACAATGATAATTTCGGAGGTGGGTGAAATGCTTTCAAAAATTATTTAAAATACAAAATGTTTCGTTTAAAATGTATTAGTTTTCGTGAAAATATTACCGATACTATTAAAACATCCTGGGATGAGTTTACTTGTACAATACACAAATATCGAGTGGAAAAGTTCATCTCTTTCCTTCCGAATGCTCATTCTTTCTATCTTTTGCGCCGTTCTCTCGAAAACTCAGGGGCCAAGCTATTTCGGTTAAGCTGTACATGTATTCCATAAAGATCTAGTAAGGTCCTTTACTTTGAAAGTTTGAAATTAATTGTACAAAATAAAGAATGTGATAACGACATAAACAAAATGTTTACCACTAAACCTGCTACCGTAGTGTCGTTCCAGTGTTTTACTTCAAGAAAAGATTTAGATTCAAAATTAAGCTAAAAATGATAGAAGCTTTAGGTTTAATTTCATGTAGGTATATTCACTTTACATTGATGTTACAAAATTAACATTTCAGGTACCAATAACGAGTGGGAAATTCTTTGCAGAATTGGCATACCTTCTGGCTGTAACTTGGCAAATTTTTCAATATTGTTGGTATGGAAATAAACTCACACAAATGGTAAACAAGAAAAACTTAAGTAATATTAATTTACCCATTGAAATACCTATTTTATTTATTTTTAAGAGTTTGGCGACATCTGATGCCCTGTTTGAAGGAGATTGGCTATGCGCTTCTAAATCCTTCAAAATGAAAATGGTCTTTTCCATGTGTCGATTGGGAAAACCCGTTATTTTCACGGGTGGTAAACTTACATTGTTAACACTACCAACTTTCGTTTCGGTAAGTAAAATATGCCTTAAAAGTAAAGCAATAAGGTCAAAGTTCAGTTGTCACATTCGTAAGGAACTAAATTGCTTAGCAGCAGCATTAAAAAGAGTACCTAATCATCAACGGAATCTATCAATAATTATATAAAACAATAATAACTATATGATATAAATAAATGACTAATCATAAAAAGTAACTAGCCCTTCCTGTTTGATGAAGTGTAATACAGATCTATCTCGCCTATTTCCTTTTGACTTCCATAGCGCCTTCTGTTCTCGTACTCTTTCTAATACCTTCGGATATCTAATCTTCTCTTTCTATGGTACGTTCGCAGGTATAGAATGATTTCTCATTGTTAAAGGCGGCTCTACTCTGTACTACCTTTTGTTTAATACCTCTACTGAGTTATCTGACTTCCTTGATATCGAAAATCATCCACTTCTTCTAATTTTTCATATCCTATCTTTATATTCACTCTTTCCCTACTTTTTCTTCCCTTGCATACCAGTAGGTATTTTTGTTTTACTTTTATTTATTTTCATATAATGCCGCTTACATTTTATTTAAGGCTAATCTCTAACTATTTCTTGCTAGATGTTAATACTGGTACATTATCTGCAAATTTAATAATGATATTTTTTTGCCCCTGTATATCTATTCTCAAAGCTACTCTGTCCTTAATGTTGCTCATCGCGCCCTCGATACAATACAGATTAAAAAGTATCGGCGACAGTTGCTGCTCAAGTTCTTGAGCTACTAGTTATTCTTCATATTATCTTTTAGTCTTCTACAATATAATACTGTGGGTATATTAATAGAAAATTAATTAAAATTAAATATTTTTTTCTTAACAGATTGCACGTTTTTCTTATTCAATCTATGCCATTTTGAAGAATGGTTCAGGAGGGCAGTAGAAATCCATCAATTCGATAAACCGCCATCAGACGAAGTTCAATCTGGCCTTCTGTGATTTTTTATTGCCTATAGTAATTTACCCCCAAACTACTATGTTTGGGAGCACTAGAAACACCTACAATTATGGTATTACTTTCACCATGACAGTTTTCAATTTGAAATTGTTTAAAAACACTGTTAATTTTTAGAATATGTCCCACATAGGAACTAAAGATATATTTACACTTTTTGATCATAATCTAGGCTCTAGACAAAATTTATTTTATTTTAATTACATAATTATTTTTTAGTTTATACACATTTTACAAATTACTGAATAATAACGAAAGTTCGAGCATTATCAGTATTGTCTGTTTGTTTTGTTTGATTGTTTAGTTACACACAAAATATGCCAATGATGTAATATTCGTAGATATATACTTCATCTATAGTACTTTCTGTAGCGATGTGCCCCTTCCAATATCTTGGTTGATATTTTAAATAGTAAATGGTACCGATAACAGCACATTTGAGCAATGCAATTGTAGTGAATAGAATGGTCAATTTTTCCGTGCAGTACTGTACGGATTATATGCTTTTCACCGGTTAAGAGTTTGACCGAGAGTTGTCTCCTTCCTTTTCTGGCCAAGTGCTGTTCTTTTCTACCTTGCGCCCGTCAAACTGAAGGTAACATCGCTACAGAAAGTAAACGAAGTATACTAGTGAACTTAAATAGACAAAAGTGACCCTAACAGACTGTAGATACATCATTTTCAATTAATATGAATCTCTACGCAAGTCTTTACCGCTTTTATTACCAGTTGCATACTCACTATCATAGAATACATATTAAATATCATATAGGCCAAAATATATTGCTGTTTGTTAAACAAAAAAGCAAAAGAATGAGCTAATCCGCTTAATATTGCTTTCTAGTAGTAAAAAAAATGAAAATTCCATCAAGTTTTAAAATTCAAACATATAAAGTATTTAATTGCTGTAAGCTTTTCATGACTGGAGTCAATTTGGACATGGGACGTTTTCGGGTTTGCTGATCACAATCTTGATTGATTGATGATTCTATTGATCTCCAATGTCCAAACATGACGTATTTATTCGTTGTTTTTCCAATATCTTTATAAATAGCCCTTTTATGCCTAAAACGTCGTAAGTACCAATATATTTCGGCTACTTCTTATTGACTTCCATAGTTCCATAGAGCGCTCTGTTTCTGACGTGACAACGTCTTATAATTCGATGGAGCCGGCTGCACGCACGAAAAAATATGACTCATGCGGCGTTACCTCGCTCTGAGGCGTTCCATTTAAGGCTTGAAGTGCAAGCGAGAGCGCGGAACGAGCGACAAAGAGGCACAATCGGCCTCCGCGTTCGGCAGCGTTCGACATCTGTCTCTCTCCTACTTGAGTGAGCGATGCGTCCGCGTGGACAGCTGCTATACAATAATACATTTCCATTTACCTCCTTCTCTATATCCATACAAAATATCTATCAAACAAATAAAATTAAAATTTTCTTTTGAAAAATGAAACCATTTTGTCAGTATTTTCTTATGACGTTGTCACGTTCAACTATCGTCAGTAAACCGACTTTACAGACAATCGATTTTTTTACTCATTTTAATATCACCTCATATCTAACCATTTTTATTCAAATTTATTTAGAAAGTAACAAAAGCAATAATGCATAAGTATGCATTTCGCACAAGCCTCAAATTTCTTGTCCAATAGCAGCGTAAACAGTAATTCACGGTGTTTTTGATATTTCAAAATGTCAGGGCGCATACCATTTTCTCATTTTCTTATATTCAAAATAATATCAGAATTCCATTCTATTTTGTAACAGAAGAAGAAATACATGGAATGCGCCAAGTAGTAACACTTGGCGTAGTAGGTACAGTGTCTCGTCTCAGTCTATATTGTTCGGTAGACATTGAAAATAACAATAAGCTCTAGGGTGAATCGCAACGAGCAGGGGTAGGTATGTTGACTGTGCTGGTACAACTGCATCCTCGACATCGCACTGATTAAACTTTCTCTTGTCGTGCAATTTGCTATTTTCATTTTCCTGGTGCTGAGCCGCACCAGGGACCTGTTCTTTAAATAAACATTTGTAAACGCTTTATGCATAAGTTTTAAACTTCTAAATTTCTGTTTTCACCCTACTGTATTACCATCATGTGTTGTTACAACAATGTAATTAGGATTTAATAACAAACATTAGATTAAATTTGTTTGTTTGTTTGAATGTAAGGGTTAATATCAAAACCCGATTCTAAAAGTTCTCCGACTAATAGGAACCCCAATATTTGTAAATTAAACTGGAAGAAAAAGTGGTGGTTTATTAGAGCATTAAACCAATTTCAATATTCCTTCTATAGTTGTCTCTACCCTTATTTAATTGAAAGTTTAATTTGATGAAGTATATTAATGTGTAAAGTTTAACAGATTTTAAATCTGTCTACAACAGAGTATCTTTTCTTACCATACGAGGAGTGTTCAAAAAATACCCGGAATTGTCGTTTTTTCAAAAAAATATTTATTTATTCGTCTACATCAATGTGGTCCCCTTCAAAGTAGTCCCCCCCAGATGTAATACACTTATGCCAGTGTTTTTCCCAATCTTCGAAGCACTCATGATATTCACTTTTTGGTATGTCTTTGAGCACTCTCAGCGATTCGGCCTTTATTTCTTCAATCGAGGAAAAACGCCGTCCTTTCATGGGTCTCTTCAACTTTGGGAACAGGAAAAAGTCACATGGAGCCATATCTGGTGAATATGGAGGTTGGGGCATGACTACGGTATTGTTTTTGGCCAAAAAATTACGAACAAGCAACGACGAGTGAGCAGGTGCGTTATCGTGGTGCAAAAGCCATGAATTGTTTTTCCATAAATCGGGGCGTTTTTTTAGGATTGCTTCACGCAAACGTCGCATAACTTCAAGGTAATACTCCTTATTAACAGTACGACCTTGTGGTAAGAACTCTTGATGCACTATGCCATCATAATCGAAGAAAACAGTAAGCAAAACCTTGACATTTGATCGAACTTGACGTGCTTTTTTCGCTCTTGGTGACACTGAATGCTTCCAGGTGGACGATTGTGCTTTGGTTTCGACATCATAACCGTACATCCATGTTTCATCATGACCCTTTCAAGCAAACTTGGATCGTCGTTGACGTCATTTAACAGCTCCTGAGCGATGTTCATGCGATTGTTTTTTTCGTCACAATTCAGCAGTTTTGGAATGAATTTTGCTGCCACTCGTTTCATGCCCAAAACATTTGAAAAAATGTTATGACATGAGCCAATTGATAGGCCAACTTCATCAGCAACTTCTCTAATTGTGATTCGGCGATCATTCATAACCACTTTTTCCACTTTTTTCACATTTTCATCGATTATTGACGTGCAGGGTCGACCGGAGCGTTCGTCATCTTCAGCGTCTTCGCGACCATCTTGGAAACGCTTATACCACTCGTAAACACATGTTTTTTTCATAGCAGACTCACCATAGGCTTTTTGTAACAGTTCACACACTTTGTTACACTTTATTTCATTTTTACGCAAAATTTAATACAAATTCTTTGACTCTTCAATTCTTCCATTGTTTAAACAAGCAAAAATCGGCGAGCTCATAAAAACCTTAGCGACTACCACAGACAAAGTAAACAGTGAATACAGCCGAAAATTTTATCATACTTTAGGGGCATGTATACCAACACAATAAAAAAAGAATTGACAATCGGACTCTCCAGACCCGCGAAATTTAAAAATTCCGGGTACTTTTTGAACACACCTCGTACATAGAAGATATTTGAAAGACATCTTTCAGAATCTATCATCTGCAACATAGAGAATCTTCAGTGTTGCAGAAATGGCTTTTCAACGTTTATCATTTTATATACCCGCACGTATGTCTTTTACATCTTCTCGTAAATATCGGAAGGTGGAGGAATTTGCAGTTGAAAGAAAAATAATTTACGGCATCGGTACATAGAATGGGAGAATCGTGTGCACGGTGCCGCGGCGGCGTCAGTCCGGCCCTGGCGCATTGTTCGTAAAGAATATGTGGATAGGGGAAGCGCGCTGACAGTAGCACAATTTAAGGCAAAAGGCTTCTAACCATTAGGCGGAATGGTTGGCACGTATGGCCAATTCTGTATCAGAGAAGATGATGGAAATATGAATTTAAACGGATCGTTCGAGAGCCGATCACGGCCACCTGTGACCACTGCGCTTCCTCTACCATGCAACGTCAAGAGTCGAATCGAATGGGAAGAGTCGGAGCCGGTCGGCCGCTTGCCAACACGACCCTTTTCGTGTAAAATGTAAAATATATTTCTTCATTTCCATTCTGGAAGTGTCCAAACCACCTCCCTCTCTCCTTTATTAAATTCATCTATGCTTCCTCGCATTCCTTTGCTACGTTTTATGAAAAAATTAATGAGGAAATAGTACAAATACTACAAATACACTACACTATGTTTGATCAATCATCATCAGGTCGTCAGTCCTAAGACTTATTGGACACGTACCTCCACTCTTTCCTATCCTGAGCTAATCTTCGTATTTCCCTAAAACTAGAACAATCAACATTTTGATCAATACTTCGGAAAAATTAAAGAAGAAGGTACAAGAAAACGAGCTAGAATGAGCCATGTCTCACCAACCTGTGATACATATAAATATGAGGGTAATGACCTTATTCAAATCTCCAACTGCTCCAGCATTGATGACCAGGATTGCCTAGTGCAACTGCCTAACGCTGCGCCGCTACATGCTGTGGGACGAGGAAGGAATGCACTGTAGGTTATTTCATACTGTGACGATAACGGTGCAATTCGCAAAAGCAACGGAAGTACATCCTGGCGCAGGTGTGGTATATCGAACACGGTCATAGATATGGCGTATTTTGATAAGATACGAATGCAGGAAATTCTCCCTTAAAATCCTCCGCACTGTATAACGCGGAATTCCTGTTTCTAGTGCAATGACTGGG